AGGACAGGCACAAGATGTTCAGGTATTGACCAGGTGCGGTCAGGTGCTGTACATTTGCTAATGGGCTCCTCATGCCGACCGGGGTTTTGATAGCTGCGAGGCTTCTTTTCTTTTCTTATGAGATCAGTGCTACACGCCTACAACCAAGGACATGTCGAGCAAGGTACATACCTGCGAATTCAAGCTATCGTACAACCAAATTATTACCCATGAACAGACTATTATTGAACGGCACGCTCTGATTGACACCCACATAATTGTACCGTTTCGTTGTGCGCACTGCGGACCTAACGTAGGACATCCAGCACTCTATCAAGCATCTGATCAATGTCACAGAAGCAAAGCATGAGTACTTCGCCTCAGCAGAATACGATTCAATACCCAGGCTCGGATTCTTGGCCACATTGGTACTCACCACGTGCTTCGGATGTAAAAAACTCTGTGTTCCAAAACGCACGGCCACTGCGATGGGCCCTCGACGCAACTTCGGCAAACTCAAAAACTTTTGACAAAAGATTCCAGAGATCTACGGGTGAGATATAGTAAAAGAATTCAATTTTCCTTATCACCGTAGTAAAGGCTAGACCAATGGGACATACAGCGGACGCTCACTGGCAGTTCCGTCGGAAATGAAAAAGACAGGAATCCCAGCGGTTGCTTCCACGGTCATACCGTTAGTATTACTTACAACTTTCCAGCGACTGGGAGCTTACTTGCTATATTGTCCTGTAACTGGTCGGCATAGGGTACGTTCCGACCTGTAGGCTGTAGCTAGTCGGGACTCGGCATAGGGCATGCACCGAGAGATTTTTTTTCCTTAGAAAAAGTCCTCGGCAATGCTGGCCCTCGCAGAGCAGTTGTTGAGCGTGCGTAACTGCAACATAAATCAATCGACTTGTGAATCTATCTGATAGGGACGTTCAATTGCAAAGAGGCGTTTTCGACGTCGGAGGCCTAATTCGGCACAAATCATAGGTGACATGGAAACCTCGATATTTCCCGCGATCTGGTTCCGTCTACTGACTGTGTTTCTATTTTCCATAGGCTTCGCTCACATTGGTTCTGTCACGAGGAGAGTAGCGTTGGCTCCAGTCATCGGTAAGTCCATATAATTATGGAAAGTGGTACGATTACATCCTTAGTCCAGGGAAAAACCATTGTGCTCTGTGTACCCGGATTCCCAAGCGGTAAGGGCTAGTTTTCGTGATCTTGAACTGTCATTTCTGAATGTACTTTGGTGGTGTGCAGATACAGTTCTTGCCTATCAGCTTCGAAATAAATTCTGAATAACTCACTCTTGCGACAATCCATTGCTTCCAACTCTAAACTTACACATCTTCCATCCTGTAAATAACATGCATCAAACAAGCACCACGCTATCCAACACTGAAAACCCAGCTGCAACACCGCCCTCATTACTCTCTGTCCCCTTGGTCCTCACAAGCCATCCTACCTCCCTCTCCACCACCTCCCCCTCTCCAAATAATGCGTACCCAAAGATACCCAGCTCAGAGATACCTCTACGCGTACGACTTTCTTTTCTATGCTCTCGTTGTCCGTACCCGAACTCGACGGAGATGCGCGTACGAGGTAACCACTTACCCCGCGTGGCGTTTCGATCATCTCCATTGCGATCCAGGCTTCACGCTCTTCAGCGGGTAGAGCATCTAGGAACGCAGGAATGGCTTCACGGTAGACGTTATTCCCACCTCCTCACGCTGGGGCTTCAACACGAGCGAGGGGGCTTTATGGCGCGCGAGACGTGTTCCGGGCGGTACGCTTCCTTGTGCTTGTCCTGAATCTGGGAAGTGATCAAGCGCAGCAACGATATCAACATCTTCCGAGTCGAGCGCCCACATGCCCATCCAGGTGGCCCGGATATCTGCTGCGTGTGCTGTGAGATCGAGAGCGCGTGCGCCCCATTTTGCGCCTTCGTTATTGAGGAAAACGCTCGAGTACCCCGGGGCGCGTGAGTGCTTCTTGGACTTTCTTCCCGCCTGCGAGTTGTAGGGGAAGAGAGGGACATTTGATGGCGCGGCTACGCTCTAGGAGGAAACGCGTGTCGTAGTAGGAGGGTGATGGGAAGTCGGAGGGGGTGTAAGTTGCGCGGAAGTATATCGTGGATATTTCGTGTGGTGAGGAATTAGTCGGGGATGTGAGTATGAGTGCATGTGTGGAGGGGTCGAGGGATGCAGAGACGGCTAGGTCGGTGAGTGTTTGACGGATAACGTGGATTTGATGTCTTTTCTAGCGAATTAGTCTGTTGATGATGAGAGAGATGGTAATATACTTCTCTAGCAATTCATACTCTAACCATTGTTGGTCGAAAACGTTGCGTTCGTTTGGTTGCACGACGAACAGGATGCGCGCGCTGGATCGATGTGAGTTCACGAATACATGCGTACTTGAACAAAGTTTGAACTGACTCTCGAACGCCATACGCTTCGTGAGCCTTGGAAAGGCCTTCAACGAGACCAGAGGTGGTGCTGTTCTCTGGAAAATTGTCTGCAGTAAGATGTGGAGATGCAGAAAAGTAGGAGGTGGACGCCAGGATATTTCTATACCGCATGAGCGTTTACAAAAGATATCTTGGAAATAAACACACCTATGCATAGCAGCCGCACGCTCAGAAAGCGGACCAAAGGACGAAGATATAGTATTAAACTCGACCTGCTTCAGTGCAAGTCTGTCTTCCGCAGCATGTAACAGATAATCCGATCTAAACAAGCCAAGGTGCAACGGCTATGTGCCATCAATGACCTACCATGCGACAGAAGAAAGAAGTCTCAAACGCACTTGTGCTAGTGCGCCGTGCTCCCTGATCTTCTTCCATCCCCTCCATAACGTCCCAGTAAACTCATCCGCCTTTCCTACGCCCTCCTCGGCGCCCATTACTGTATCTAAGAATTGGGTATCCATCGCGACGCGTGCGTAGAGCACGTTATATACGCTCTGCAGCTCTCTTGCAGCCTGGAATTGCGCACGGGGGAAGGGCGCGGGAATGAGTGAGAGGGGGGCATGGATTGCGGTGGTTGGTATGCGTGGTTGGGTATTGGATGGTGATTGGGAGGGTGGAAGGTAAAGCAATCCGTGTGAGAGTGCGTATGTTGTTGCAGAAAGCGTCAGAGCTTCTAATTGCTCTGGAGTTAGCTGTGGAGGCCAGGTAGAGAAGTTGAAGGAGGTCATCGTTAATGGGTTACGTACCGACGAATTATAAGCAGATAAGATACTTAACACCACGTGCCATCCACCCCAATACTTGCGTGATTCCTTCTCAGGCTGGTAACTTTATAATTGACATGCACGCTCACGAGGAATCGACTAGGTGCGTGGCATTATTTCGGACATCCAGCTGAGTGATGATTTGAAGTGAACGTTTTTCAAGGTGAGACGGAATCCACCGACACATCATGATCGTGGCGGTTGAATGGTGAGTTGTCATTGTCGTCATGACTCATGATTTTACCTGATTTTACCGCTAGTTTATGGGAAAACCGTTGGTGAGTTCTCCCTCCACTATGGACAGAGATAAAATACAAGCTTCTCAACGTCACCGTCAGAGAGCGGCGCCAGCGGGTAACTAGGTGACTTCCCGCAAGATTTCGCGCCTTAACTGAATGGGACTGCATTAGGATACTTAGTTGCTGTCAACACTCAGGCTTAGCCTTGTCAATTACGGGTTGTTCTCGCACTCGTCTGTGAATCTTCCAATTTGTGAAGGGTAGGTACTTCACAGATTTCTGTAAATCATGGTCACGTATGAAACTGATTTAGGTACTCTTTTAAGCTTCAGAATGTGTGGTATCTGGCCTGTGTCTTCTCGGTGGGTTGCTCGGATTCAGAAAATACCGGGAACTCTGTCAAGATCCCCGCATGACGCCACTATATCATCCTGCTCAACCTCCATCTCGCCTGCCTACCATCAAGATCTTTACCTCCATCTCTTCTGATCCCTGCAAGTCTCTCACTGGCTGTCTCTCTACGACTTCTTCTGTGTTTGCCTATTTCCCACCCGCCTGCCAACACCATGTTGTTGTCTGCACCTCCCAGTCTATGGCTGCCGTGTCCTCCCTCCAGGTGACGGCAAGTTGACAAGGATGACAAGATCGGCATTTCACCATTTTAGACATCCTAAGCAGTAGATGTGATGCTATTGTTAATCATACGAACCCGACCGACCTCTATATCCTACTTAAGAAGATTCCGTACGACCTTCAAATCCTATTTTGCATCTGAAAACCGATCCTTTGTGTACTTGAGCAGCTCTATTTTAGTTGGTGGTGGCATCAGTGTACGAGGTTGGAGCAAACCCGACGCGGGAGCGGGAGGTGTCGAATATACAGTAGAAGCGCTCGGTGAATGGGTAGCCATTAACAAAGTCAAACCCTTTGCCACTTGGCGTACCAAGGTCGTTAACGACGAGATATATGGCGTTGCTACTACCACCAATGTAGGTGTTGAGAATACGAGGCCAGATTTGGCCGTTAGGGGTGAGAGAGAAGGTTGCCTGTGCAAATGGTAAACAAGGGATGTGAGGGCTGACAGAAATGTCGTACGCTGCCAATATTGAAGTTCAGGTTCTGGAGGGCTCCGTATTGGGTAGAGGAAATGAGGAGAAGACCAGTCGCCGAATCCAGTGTACCACCGGTTAAAGACTGGTACTGGTCGAAGGCATCTATCTAACGATAAAACCATAATTACTCGCTGCACTCGAGATACACACCTGTAGCAATGTGAATAAAGGTGGTTCCAACATCGACGATACCAGCAGTGGAGGACAAGATCGTCGTGGAACCGTAGGAAATGCTCTGGTCGATGCCCCAATAGTACGATGCAGGACTGGTGGTAGTGATAGGACTGAAACAGAACGATTACTATTAGCCTCGATTGATCTAGGAGCTGAAGTAGCTTACGTGTACGTAATGAGACCGTGCTTGTTACGGACAGTTCCACCAAAGGTGAGCTCTCCATTGACCATTGACTGCGTTGAAGTGGTGGGCTGGAAAGAGATACTAACAACCTCACGATGAATGGTGCCTTGGCTATGCAGGTTGTCAGTGACAGTCGGGATCGTCGTCCTCGGTTCATCTGTCAGGCTACCCGCTGTCAAGCCTACAGGCCCGAGGCCAAGGATGCCGTCAGCTTCGCCAAAGGTACCCGACGTCTCAGTAGCAACACCGATCGACTGTTGGGCGATGGCGAGCCCATTACCGAAATCGAAGGTGTCCGTGTACTCCATTCCTATAGATAATCATAGGCGTCTTCAACAACTTGTGATTTCTTTGCATGTCATACCAAAGAAGTGGCCGGTACCGTAAATGACTTTCACATTTTCACCAGTGTTGAAGCTGGTGCTGGTCGGCACGTACGGTGTGCGGGCGCCAACCCATGTGTTCGAGGTACCGGTGTCGACGATCAAGTAGTCTTCAATGATACATCAGCAGCCGCATATTTTCTGAGTCTTGAACTTACAAGTTGTGGCGGGGTTACCAATGCCAACTGCTACGTAGTATCCATTACCAACGTTGGCCACAGGAACGCCATGGCCGCCGTGCGTCAAGTTGTAGTCCTTAAGCCTGAAGGCTGCCACCCGAGCTTTATCCTGCTCCAAGGCGTTAATGGTACCATTGAGGACACTTAGCCTCCTGGCGATGGGGAGGGTGATGGGGGAATTGTTAACTTCAACGGGCGATCCCGTGATTGACAAGGCCAGGAGGAGAATTGTCAACAAGGATGCAGCGGACATACTGACTCAAGCAATATTATATTCAGTAGTCTATTATATAGGCGCTGGTGGACCCGAACTCGGGCATCTTGGCCACGTGTAAAACACTTCTTCTCGAGAGAGCGATGACAAAATAGTGGAGGCCCGAGTATCGTGAGCGCAAGGATCCAGCTTCCTGATAAAACAACAGTGACAAGAAGTTGGTTTTCAATTCAGGAATTTACAATTCACCTGTTTACCCATGATCCATTGGTTCATTAACTGACCCCAAGTTCATTTCCGTAGAGATACACCTCAGAGGAACGTTAGTGTCAGGTTGGGGTAGCAAGCGTTGCCGAGGAGGGTAATTCTCCCTGTCACTGTCCCGGGTCTGTCAATGATCGAGTTGTTGAATTCGCGCCATGTGAGGCCATTTGCCAACTCGACCCGAAACCATAGAATACAATAATAGTATCAAGAAGAAGCAGTGATGAAGCTCGCCATTTTCTGGAGCACGTCGGCTGGTTACACATGGTCCAATTGGTTCATTTACGCAAGCGGGAAATTTTGCTGGAAGTTGAAATTGCATGACTACAGAGTTGGTCCCTCGGGTCTCAACCATGAAGTAAATCGGTGCATTCAACTTGAAGTTACCCTGTAGTGGCGCGCAGTGCGCACGTGTGGTATCGGAGATCGTTCGTTCAACGTTCAACAGGCGTATATGTGATCCACGGCCACCTACAGGTATCATTTAAGGGCCAAGAAGTTTCGAATTGATTCATGCTACCATGGTCCGCATCAGAGTGTTATAGTACATGTTGAAGTCAGACGACGGTGATAGAGTACGTGCCACACAAGTGCAAACGAACGAACTCAATCATACACTTTCCAACCCAATGACATTCATTGCTTCTGGTTCACAATCGTAACGCCGCGTACGCGCCAATTCCCGACGACGCCAGACACCATCACGTGTTGTTTTGGTTCGACTTCTCTCCTTTTGCCCTCGATTGCGGCCTCAATGTTTCCTTCGTACATACCTATTCTGCTTTCATTTCGGTTTTGAATCTCTCTCGCCTTCAATGGCGTTTGGTCCTTCCTGGATGAAACTACTCAGACCTTCGGGCGTCCTGACCGTGGACGGCTTGCCGATCACAGGCTGACCGCAGCCTGGCAAGTCCTGTAGTGGCTACCTCAGGTACTCAGACTATCGCACGGATGCGGAGCACGCATTGCGTGTAGCATATGTTTCACTCCAACTATTATTACTGCGCATCACCGCTCACCTTGCTCCTCGAATTTAATGTCTCTCATAGTCGCTTTGTCTCACCTGGTCCAAACTACTCAGACCAGGCTTCGGGCATCCTGACCGTGGATGACTTGTCGATCAAAGGCTGACCACAGTCTGGCAAGTCCAGTGGTGGCTGCATCAGGTCCCCAAACTAGCGCTACAGATGTGTGACACGCGATTCTTGGACCTCCTGTAATGTAGTGTTTGCAGGTTGGGTCTCTTTTCATGGCGATTGTCCCTTGATTCTCAAAGCTTTGTGTAGCCCGTCGATTGTGTCGTGTCTTTGTGTCTTCCGCTCCATGTAAGCTTCTTCCCTCTCTTTCAGTCTCGCTCTTTATTTTTGTTCCCAGAGAAGAACATCAAGGAGCAGCGTCACTCGTCGGTTGCGTCTTTGTTCTATTGTCTTCAACAAAATCCAGATGGATGGCCTCGTCGTGTTGGATGCATCGCCATTCTCGACCCGCGGATCATTGTGACGAGAGTTGCACAGTGCATTGCACTGGTCCGTTTCAAATTCGTCACGCGTTTCGCAGCTTTCATTAGCAGGTTGGAACTGGCTTTTCCTCACGATACCCTTTCTGGTTCTGTAGCATCTTGTTAGCACGTCACTACTTACAATCCACCCTCTTATTCGTGGCTGTCACCTTTTAATGAGTGGGACGTGGGACATCAAGCACGTTGGCGGTGAAGCTTACCCATGTTGATAATTGCTGCCATGTGAAACACCGCGCAAGCTGACATAAAGGTTCCCACACTTTTTCTTGTAGAGAAAATGACATTTGCTGCAAACAGAACCCGGACTGGTCGTCGGGAAGTCAGTAAGTGACATGCCTAGCTCGTTTCAATGTTTTCATTATAGTGTATATATGCGCATGAATATCTTATCTAAGTACAGCTACCTTCAAATCGATAGGCCAGAATCCATCTTTGTTCATTCACCGCTTTTGTTTAGTTGTGGAGCTGGCCAAACAAAAGGGTCCCGCCTATTACGATACTTTGTCGGGTGAGATACCCCAGAATGGTACTGGACTGCGCAACTTCTATGATATGGTATGCGGTTCGTTTAACGCTGTGTCTGACACCCTTCTGAGCTCACTGCTGGTAATACCGGTATGACTATTTATTACCAACTCATCATGGTATCGGATCATGCCGGCACAGTGAGCTCAGCATTAGTACTTGCATGCTCCACT